TGTCTCTTTGTGGAGATCAAGAGATAATCAAAAGTACCATGCATCATTCATTCATTTGTTCAGATGCACTTCATCAAGTAGCACTGTGGCTGCGTTGATCACAATGCACTCGTGGGACATTTAAGCCCTGAACGATGACTGACAGACAGCCCTGTCTCCCAGGCTGGGTGCCGCCCCCAAGACCACAGCCAATCGCATGCAAGGAATAAAGCAGCTAACTTGGCTAGTCTTGTGAGCTAGCTAGTTAGCTAGATAGTTTTGTTAGCTAGCTAGCTAGCAAGCTAGCTTGTTATCTATGATAGTTGTTATCTTGCATAACTGATATGTACATAATTATAAAGTGACACTTAATAATAATATTTGAATTTACATTGGGTGAGCGCCCTTCCTGACAGGCTAATAAGTCAGGATTCTGCCCGAGTCCAAAATAAAATCCTATTACAATCCAAAATTTTGGAACCTATCCTATAGGATTACAGGAGTGAAGTGGGACTGGTTCCAAAATCTGATAGGATTTTCTTTTGGATTTAATACGATATTTTTTTTTTGACCAGGGTAAAATGTGTTTTTGTGAGATCAGAGTCATTTTTATTGACAGAACAGATGTGAGTACAGAAAGTGGTTAAGGACACAGACAGTCAGCCAAGCTGGGGATCAAACATTCGTCGCCAAGGGGATCCGGAGTCGGGAGCTTAGACCGCTACACCAGACTCCAGCACACTGATAAAATGTCTCTATTAGATTCTTGTACATAAAATCCTGTAGAATAGAATCCTATAGGAGTCATGTAGGACTGGTTCCAAAGTCTGATAAGATTTTTTTTATTGGATTCTTGGATTGGAATATTATGGGATCCTATAAAATAAAACCATATAGGATACAATCCCATGGGAGTCCAATACGGCTGGTTCCAAAATATGATATGATTTTTCTATTGGATTCTAATTGGATTCTAATTGGATCCTTGCATTGGAATACTATAGGATTTATATGAATTTTGTCGATGTAAATTGTATAGACATTTACATTACATTACATTCTAAAGGATTTATCCCCAAAACTTGGCTATACACTATAGTTACCTTGGCTGCTTAACATATGGAGCACCAACCCTTCAAACCTCTTAGACAATTACCTAAGAAGGTGGACCGTGGACACGTGAACTGTAAAAACATCATAAGAGACCAATATTGAACTGCCACCCTTGCCACTTGAGATGGTGAAACCGCCAGCACAGTAGCTATTTCATGCAGCTCCATCCCCCCCGAGGTCCAAGGGACACAACGTGAGTAAACATTTGCATCTGGTGCATCTGCGTCACACGTTAAATGTATTGTGCCAACTGCAACAACAATAGCTGTTAAACCTGCTGAGATTGTCTTCAAGGTTGTTTACATTTGTGTTTGTGTCAAAAAGGAGCGCTATGTGGCATTACAGCCAAACAGCATAGAGATACAGTGGGGTGAACAAGTATTTGATACACTGACGATTTTGCAGGTTTTCCTACTTACAAAGCATAGGTACAGTTGTACACTTCAACTGTGAGAGACGGAATCTAAAACAAAAATCCAGAAAATCACATTGTATGATTTTTAAGTAATTAATTTGCATTTTATTGCATGACATAAGTGTTTGATCACCTACCAACCAGTAAGAATTCTGGCTCTCACAGACCTATTAGTTTTTCTTTAAGAATCCCTCCTGTTCTCCACTCATTACCTGTATTAACTGCACCTGTTTGAACTCGTTACCTGTATAAAAGACACCTGTCCACACACTCAATCAAACAGACTCCAACCTCTCCACAATGGCCAAGACCAGAGAGCTGTGTAAGGACATCAGGGATAAAATTGTAGACCTGCACAAGGCTGTGATGGGCTACAGGACAATAGGCAAGCAGCTTGGTGAGAAGGCAACAACTGTTGGTGCAATTATTAGAAAATGGAAGAAGTTCAAGATGATGGTCAATCACCCTCGGTCTGGGGCTCCATGCAAGATCTCACCTCGTGGGGCATCAATGATCATGAGGAAGGTGAGGGATCAGCCCAGAACTACACGGCAGGACCTGGTCAATGACCTGAAGAGAGCTGGGACGACAGTCTCAAAGAAAACCATTAGTAACACACTACGCCGTCATGGATTAAAATCCTGCAGCGCACGCAAGCCAGTGCATGTCCAGGCCCGTCTGAAGTTTGACAATGACCATCTGGATGATCCAGAGGAGGAATGGGAGAAGGTCATGTGGTCTGATGAGACAAAAATAGAGCTTTTTGGTCTAAACTCCACTCGCCGTGTTTGGAGGAAGAAGAAGGATGAGTACCACCCCAAGAACTTCCCAACTGTGTAGCATGGAGGTGGAAACATCATTCTTTGGGGATGCTTTTCTGCAAAGGGGACAGGACGACTGCACCGTATTGAGGGGAGGATGGATGGGGCCATGTATCGCGAGATCTTGGCCAACAACCTCCTTCCCTCAGTAAGAGCATTGAAGATGGGTCGTGGCTGGGTCTTCCAGCATGACAACAACCCGAAACACAGCCAGGGCAACTAAGGAGTGGCTCCGTAAGAAGCATCTCAAGGTCCTGGAATGGCCTAGCCAGTCTCCAGACCTGAACCCAATAGAAAATCTTTGGAGGGAGCTGAAAGTCCGTATTGCCCAGCGACAGCCCCGAAACCTGAAGGATCTGGAGAAGGTCTGTAGGGAGGAGTGGGCCAAAATCCCTGCTGCAGTGTGTGCAAACCTGGTCAAGACCTACAGGAAACTTATGATCTCTGTAATTGCAAACCAAGGTTTCTGTACCAAATATTAAGTTCTGCTTTTCTGATGTATCAAATACGTATGTCATGCAATAAAATATGAAACATCTCAATGATATTAGTAGGCCTACAAGTGTATTACCTTATCATAAACCAAAGATTATGGAGGTTATTATAAAACTATGCAGATTGCAGGGAGGGGAACCACACAGTTTGTACAGTGAACAAACCCTAAAGCTATCACAGGGATGAATGTACATTACTGAGCAACAGAGGAGAGACCGTCACACTCTCAATTATGATAATGAACACTTAATCATGCACATTTTTAGCTTATCTATAACCATAACATAAGCATGTTGTTTTCAAACATCGCAGCACACAATTAGTTAATCTGCCAGTAGAGCATTTGGTCATTTATCTGCATAGGACAAGCAAGTGATACAAAGTACATAACATGCACAGCCTCTACAACGCTGCCACGCAACTTATAGATAACTGATTGCTTGTTACACTGTATTGATAAGACTGCAATGCCACATGTGTAGACGATGTGAAAGATCCCATGTTGTATGTTCCCAAGTTTTAAACACAGTCAAAACTATTTCAAAGTAGTTCTGCTCTCATCTACAATTGGTAAAATTGTCAACTTTGAACATGACATTGTAATTGATATCATCCCAATAGAGCTCACCAGATTGAAGTCCTAAAAAACGGATATGAGTTACCTCTGGTTCATTCAGCCATTCATATGGGGAAAATTAATGGGGAAAGAATAGGGTTAAATGCAGAAAATAAACGCAGAAATGGACTGGTGAGGGGTGGGGAGGGGAGAGAGGCATACAATGTCATAAAACCATTATATATATATATATACGTTTTGTTCTATGAGATAATATCAGTCAGTTAATGTGATCTTTATAAATTATGAAGCCTTTTATGTGCTCTATGTGCATTTTTTGATTACATAAATGCTTTAAAAAATAAAATAAAGTGAAGTTAGCTGATTAAGATTATCTCATAGAACAAAACGTATAAGATCTCTTAAGCCTGTGTTAACCACAGACCTTATTTTCAGCTTTTATCCAAAAACCCTACAAAAACTCCATTCATTTTTCCCAGTGGTGTATAGTACTTAAGTAAAAATACTTTAAAGTATTACTTAAGTAGTTTTTGGGGGGTATCTATACTTTACTATTTATATTTTTGACAACTTTTATTTTTAGTCCACTACATTCCTAAAGAAAATAATGTACTTTTTACTCCATACATTTCCCCTGACAACCAAAAGTACTCCTTACATTTTGAATGCTTAGCAGGACAGGAAAATTGTCCAATTCACGCACTTATCAAAATCCCTGGTCATCCCTACTGGCTCTGATCTGGCGGACTCACTAAACTATGTCTGAGTGTTGTAGTGTGCCCCTGGATATCTGTAAAGTAAAAAAACAAGAAAAACGTGCCGTTTGGTTTACTTAATATAAGGAATTTGATATGATTTATACTTTTACTTTTGATACTTAAGTATATTTTTGCAATTACATTTACTTTGATACTTAAGTATTTTTAAACCTTTCACTCAAGTATTATTTTACTGGGTGACTTTCATTTTTACTTGAGTCACTTTCTATTAAGGTATCTTTACTTTTACTCAAGTATGGCAATTGGGTACTTTTTCCACCACTGTTTTTCCCATAGGCTTTGTTTTGTCCAAAGAACCACGGCAGAGTTAGTGCCATTATCATTACTCTCTATACCGTTCAAGTGGCGTAGAAGGAGGCGGGAACATTGGACAGGAAGCTATAAACTGTATTATTTGTATAGCCAGAGGTCTATATATAATGACAAGACGACCATGTCTCCGCCCTAACAATCGGAGTCGTTGTCCCAAAGTTGGGAAGGCAGGCGACAAGTTTAGGTCCATAATAGCCCATAGAAACGCATTGGGCTTTTTTGGGCCAGAGTAAAATCTCTCGCTTCGCATCTTCCTCTTTGGTATTGCTCTTGTGGGGGACGATGAATAAAGTGCGGGATAGCGTCATACTCCTTTTGCCTAGTGATTTGCTGAGATGACGCACCAGGAAATATTCATGACCAATGCGCAGATTAGATCAAGATTCTTGGGCGGAGCGTTGCATATCGTTTTATGTCTAAGTAAGCATGTTCATTTCTACTATAAAACCAGCCAAAGTTCATATTTTTGAAGTACTGTCAGCTGAAGTGTGAGTGAAATTTGTCCAGACATGGATACTGTATCAGACTCGATGCTTGCGAGGGGACTGATGTTCATAGGTGGCTTCACAGTGCTGTATTACATGCTGAAATGGTCCTGGGAATGCTGGTATGGATTCAGAGTGTATGTGCTGTCAAAAGTTTGGCAAGCTGATTTAAAGGCATATGGACAATGGGCAGGTAAGGTAGGCTACATGCTATGTAAAGCATACTATTTTTATCTGGTGATCATGCATTACAGTAGGCTAATATTTGTTTATTTATGAAAATAAAGGCATTCTCTTTTTAGTCATAGTGATGGCTATGTTACATGATTCTTTAGACTTTCTCTACAAGATTAATAATACAGTAGACTGAGTGTATCATGTTTCCCCTGGGCAGGTCACATTCCACTTTACAGCTCACCGTTTCGCCCTGTACCCAAGATTATATCTGCTGTTAGGTGGAACGGGATTTGTGTGGTCACTGGTCCAATTCAGTCTCATTGGAAACTTAACTTTCCTGTTGGTTATTGCAGCACATCTGTTTATGCTATTTTACGCTTTTGGCAGCAGTTGGAGAAAAGTTGTTGCCAGTGCTTGACAATGGTCACTATAAAACAATTGTACAAGTATCTGATGACAAACAGTAGTATGCTTCCACCGAGCAGACCAGGACAGCAGCATTTCTGCCAGTATTGTGAAAGAAAGGAAGAGAGAGATATCTTTAAATGTTCCTCCATCCTGCAGTCACATCCAGTGTCCGACCTGACCTCTCTCAGAGACCTCTCACTGCAGAGGATGAGGAGATACAACAATAGTAGTAAATATGTCATTATGGAAGTCTGCGGTCTAACTAATTCTGACCATGATCTCCTTTCTACAGTTGTCACAGGGGCTACCTCAGGGATTGGCAAAGCTTACGCAAATGAGGTCAGTCTTTACTGATTGTTTTTTTGTTACATGGCCTCTGTGTCCCCTTACCCCATTGCTGTGTACAGATGAGATTGAAGCATGCATAAGCATGTAATTCAAGTACTTTGTAAAATGAGTGTTTACTCACGTAACAGTTGCCTTTCTTCCTGGACACTACAGTTGGCCAGAAGAGGCCTGGACATTGTACTGATCAGCCGGTCAAAAGATAAACTCCACATTGTTGCCAAGGAGATTGGTGAGTGAAGCGCTGAGATGGAAAAATAGAACTAAATGAAGAGTTGAGGTACAAAAGATCAATATGCAAATGTATATTTATCCTTAAAATACAACTATACGTCAATATGTTTGTTCCAGAGAGCCAACATGGACGCCAGACCCAGATCATCCAGACAGACTTCACAGAGGGCCATGACATCTACCCTGCTATAGTTGAGGCACTACGGGACCTGGACATAGGCATCCTGGGTAGGGCACCTATGGCAATGATATACAGTTGAAGTCGGAAGTTTACATACACCTTAGCCAAATACATTTAAACTCAGTTTTTCACAAGCCCTGACATTTAATCCTAGTAAACATTCCCTGTCTTAGGTCAGTTAAGATCAACACTTTATTTTAAGAATGTGAAATGTCAGAATAATAGTAGAGAGAATGACTTCTTTCAGCTTTTATTTCTTTCATCACATTCCCAGTGGGTCAGAAGTTACATACACTCAATTAGTATTTGGTAGCATTGCCTTTAAATTGTTTAACTTGGGTCAAATGTTTCGGGTAGCCTTCCACAAGCTTCCCACAATAAGTTGGGTGAATTTTGGCCCATTCCTCCTGACAGAGCTTGTGTAACTGAGTCAGGTTTGTAGGCCTCCTTGCTCGCACACGCTTTTTCAGTTCTGCCCACATATTTTCTATAGGTTTGAGGTCAGGGCTTTGTGATGGCCACTCCAATACCTTGACTTTGTTGTCCTTAAGCCATTTTGCCACAACTTTGGAAGTATGCTTGGGGTCATTGTCCATTTGGAAGACCCATTTGCGATCAAGCTTTAACTTCCTGACTGATGTCTTGAGATGTTGCTTCAATATATCCACATAATTTTCCTTCCTTATGATGCCATCTATTTTGTGAAGTGCACCAATCCCTCCTGCAGCAAAGCGCCCCCACAGCATGATGCTGCCACCCCCGTGCTTCACGGTTTTCCTCCAAACATAACGATGGTCATTTTGTCCGAACAGTTCTATTTTTGTTTCATCAGACCAGAGGACATTTCTCCAAAAAGTACGATCTTTGTCCCTATGTGCAGTTGCAAACCGTAGTCTGGCTTTTTTATGGCGGTTTTGGAGCAGTGGCTTCTTCCTTGCTGAGCGGCCTTTCAGGTTATGTTGATATAGGACTCGTTTTACTGTGGATATAGATACTTTTGTACCTGTTTCCCCCAGCATCTTCACAAGGTCCTTTGCTGTTGTTCTGGGATTGATTTGCACTTTTCGCACCAAAGTACATTCATCTCTAGGAGACAGAATGCATCTCCTTCCTGAGCGGTATGACGGCTGCGTGGTCCCATGGTGTTTATACTTGCGTACTATTGTTTACATTTACATTTTAGTCATTTAGCAGACGCTCTTATCCAGAGCGACTTACAGTTTTTTTTTTTATACTGGCCCCCCGTGGGAATCGAACCCACAACCCTGGCGTTGCAAACGCCATGCTCTATCAACTGAGCTACATCCCTGCCGGCCATTCCCTCCCCTACCCTGGACGACGCTGGGCCAATTGTGCACCGCCAATGAGTCTCCCGGTCGCGGCCGGCTGCGACAGAGCCTGGATTCGAACCAGGATCACTCAGATGAACGTGATACCTTCAGGCGTTTGGAAATTGCTCCGAAGGATGAACCAGACTTGTGGAGGTCTACAATTTTTTTTCTGAGGTCTTGGCTGATTTCTTTGGATTTTCCCATGATATCAAGCAAAGAGGCACTGAGTTTGAAGGTAGGCCTTGAAATACATCCACAGGTACACCTCCAATTGACTCAAATGATATCAATTAGCCTATCAGAAGCTTCTAAAGCCATGACATCATTTTCTGGAATTTTCCAAGCTGTTTAAAGGCACAGTCAACTTAGTGTATGTAAACTTCTGACCCACTGGAATTGTGAAACAGTGAATTATAAGTGAAATAAGCTGTCTGTAAAGAATTGTTGGAAAAATTACTTGTGTCATGCACAAAGTAGATGTCCTAACCGATTTGCCAAAACTATAGTTTGTTAACAAGAAATTTGTGGAGTGGTTGAAAAACGAGTTTTAATGACTCCAACCTAAGTGTATGTAAACTTCCGACTTCAACTGTATAGCAGGAAGAGAACAAGGAGTCAAACAGGGGACGAGAATTGGGAAATGAGAAAGGAACTAAAGCTAGTCTGCAATTAAATGTGGGATGGAGAGAAAGGTGTTGTAAGGAACGAGAGGGGTTGGAGAATGTGCTCTTATTACCACAAACAACATACAGTGCCTTCAGAAAGTATTCATAACCCTTGACTTATCCACATTTTGTTGTGTTACAGCCTGAATTCAAAATTGATGAAACATATAAAAAATCTCACCCATCGACACACAATACCCCATAATGACAAAGTGAAAACATGTTTTTAGAAATGTTTGCAAATGTATTGAAAATGAAATACAGAAATATCTCATTTACGGAATTATTCACACCCCTGAGTCAATACATGTTAGAATCACCTTTGGCAGCAATTACAACTGTTAGTTTTTCTGGGTAAGTCTTTAAGAGCTTTGAACACCTGGATTGTACAATATTTGCACATTATTCTTTTACAAATTCTTCAATCTCTGTCAAGTTGATTATTGCTAGACAGCCATTTTAAAGTCTTGCCGTAGATTTTCAAGCCAATTTAAGTCAAAACCGTAACTAGGCCACTCATGAACATTCAATGTCGTCTTGGTAAGCAACTCCAGTGTATATTTGGCCTTGTTTGAGGTTATTGTCCTGCTGAAAGGTGAATTTGTCTCCCAGTGTCTGTTGGAAAGCAGACTGAACCAGTTTTTCCTCTAGTATTTTTTCCTCTATTCTGTTTATTACTATCCGAAAAAAACCTCCCTAGTCTTTGCCGATGACAAGCATACCCAAAACATGATGCAGCCATCACCATGCTTGAAAATATGAAGTGGTACTCAGTGATGTGTTGTGTTGGATTTTCCCCAAACATAACGCTTTGTATTCAGGACATAAAGTTAATTTCTTTGCCAAATTTTTTGCAGTTTTGCCTTAACGCAAACAGGATGCATGCTTTGGAATATTTGTATTCTGTACAGGCTTTCTTCTTTTCACTCTCATTTAGGTTAGTATTGTGGAAAAAATACCATGTTGTTGATCCATCCTCAGTTCTCTCCTATCACAGCTCCTTAAACTCTGTAACTTGTTTTAAAGTCACCATTGGCCTCATGGTGAAATCCCTGAGTGGTTTCCTTCCTCTCCGGCAACGGAGTTAGGAAGGACGCCTGTAGCTTTGTGGTGACTGGGTGTATTGATACACCATCCAAAGTGTAATTAATAACTTCACCATCCTCTAAGAGATATTCAATGTTTGCTTTTTTTATTACACCCATCTACCAATAGGTGCCCTTCTTTGCAAGTCATTGGAAAACCTCCGTAGTCTTTGTGGTTGAATCTGTGTTTGAAATTCACTGCTCGACTGACGGACCTTACAGATAATTGTATGTGTGGGGTACAGAGATGAGGTAGTCATTCAAAAATCATGTTAAACACCATTATTGAACACAGAGTGAGTCCGTGCAACTTATTATGTGACATGTTAAGCACTTTTACTCCTGAACTTATTTAGGCTTGCCATAACAAAGGGGTTGAATACTTATTGACTCGAGACATTTCTGATTTTTAATTAATTTGTAAACATTTCTAAAAACATAATTCCACTTTGATATTATGGGGTATTATGTATAGGCCAGTGATACAAAATCTCAATTTAAATTCAGGCTGTAACACATTACATTTTAGCAGACACTCTTATCCAGAGCGACTTACAGATAGTGAGTGAATACATTATTTTTTTATTTGTCATACCCCCGTGGGAATCAAACCCACAACCCTGGAGTTGCAAATGCCATGCTCTACCAACTGAGCTGCCGGCCATTCCCTCCCCCAATTGTGCGCCGCCCCATGCGTCTCCCAGTCGCGGCCAGCTACGACAGAGCCTGGATTCGAACCAGGATCTCTAGTGGCACAGCTAGCACTGCGATGCAGTGCCTTAGACCGCTGTGCCACTCGGGAGACAACAACAACATGTGGAAAAAGTCTAGGGGTGTGAATACTTTCTCAAGGCACTGTAGCTATTCTCTCTTTCAATGGATGTTAGTAGTGAAATGTAATAATAAATTACATAGAAATATATTCTGACTATCCTCATTTACAGTTAACAATGTAGGCATGAACTATTCTGACAAGTTGGTACATTTCCTGGACATTCCCAACCCTGAGCAGGTAAGATTCACACACCCCCACTCACATAAATGGTCTATGTATATATATCATGTTTTGGATGCCATTTTGATTCTAACAAGGTAATAATGTACTATGGTTGGATTTAAAGCTTGAGTTAATGGTTGAGTTAATTTGTGTTTTCATTCCTCCCTAACCCAGAGAATCACCCAGGTGATCAACTGTAACATCCTCTCTGTCACCCAGGTGAGATTATCTGTCAGGATTTATATAGACTCCCTCTGTGAAGTTCTGTGCATGATACATGTCTTAGTTTATGTTTCTAAACTAGTGTATGGCTCATACAAAGTCATAGCTTTTAATATTTGGTCATCATTATGTGAAAGAATAATGGTAGCGTTTAGGAGGTTAATGTTGGTGTTGTTGAACATGATGATCATGATGATGATGGTGATGGGGGTGAAAGAGGATTCTGGTGATTATGGAGATGGTGGTGATGGTACTGATGGTGTTATCATTCCTTGGAATTTCCTCAGATGACCAGACTGGTTCTCCCACGCATGGTGGAAAGGTACATATGCATCATGATGATATCAATGAAACGTGAATCTTAATGATTTCTATCTATGAAATTGTCCCTTTATTTACCTGTCCTGTCTTTCTCAGAGGGAACGGTCTGATCATCAACATGTCTTCAGAGGCAGGTGCTCAACCACAACCCATGCTGTCTCTCTACTCCGCCACCAAGGTGCCTCTCCCTTTCACTTAAGTTTATCTCACTCAAGCATGCACAATGAATCACACACATACACAACCATGCTCAACCTCTTGTACATTCACTGAACAAAAATATAAACGCAACATGCAACCATTTCAACGATTTTACTGAGTTACAGTTCATATAAGGAAATCAGTAAATTGAAATAAATTAATTAGGCCCTAATCTATGGATTTCACATGACTGGGCAGGGATGCAGCCATGGGTGGGCCTGGGAGGGCGTAGGCCTATCCACTGGGGAGCCAGGCCCACTCACTAGGGAGCCTGGCCCAGCCAATCAGAATGAGTTTTTCCCAACAAAAGGACTTTATTACAGACAGAAATACACCTTAGCACCCCCTCCCCCCTCAGACGATCCTGCAAATGAAGAAGCCGGATGTGGAGGTCCTGGACTGGCGTGGTTACACGTGGTCTGCGGTTGTGAGGCCGGTTGGATGTACTGGTAGAGAAATTAACATTCAATTCTCTGGTAACAGCTCTGGTGGACATTCCTGCAGTCAGCATGCCAATTGCACACTCCCTCAAAACTTGAGACATCTGTGGCATTGTGTTGTGTGACAAAACCGCACATTTTAGTGGCCTTTTATTGTCCCCAGCACAAGGTGCACTTGTGTAATGATCATGCTGTTTAATTAGCTTCTTGACATGCCACACCTGTCAGGTGGATGGATTATCTTGAAAAATGAGAAATGCTCACTAACAGGGATGTAAACAAATGTGTGCACAAAAGTTGAGAGAAATAAGCTTTTTGTGCGTTTGGAAAATTGTGATATTTTATTTCAGCTCATGAAACATGGGACCAACACTTTACAAGTTGTGTTTATATTTTTGTTCAGTGTATTTATATGCCATTCAGCAGACGCTTTTATCCAAAGCGACTTAGTCATGCATGCATACATTTTACATACGGATGGTCCGGGAATCAAACCCACTATCCTGGCGTTGCAAGCGACATGCTCTATAACAGCTACAGAGGATCAATGTTATCCATTCTTTTCTTGGCAGATTTTTGTGACATATTTTTCCAGATCTCTGAATTCTGAGTACAAGTCACAGGGAATCACAGTTCAGGTAAAATACTTGTAAGAATTTTGTATCACTACCCATGCACTCCTGTTTCAGTATCCTTCAGCATTTTGTGTTTCCTCCTATCTCTTACGCTTTCTTAATTTCCTCTCCTTTAGTGTGTGGCTCCCTTTATGGTATCCACTAACATGACCCACAACTTGCCCCCCAACCTGTTGTTGAAGAGTGCCAGTGATTTTGCCCGTGAAGCTCTGAACACAGTGGGTCACTCTAGCTACACCAGTGGCTGTGTCTCTCACGCTCTTCAAGTAGGAACTCCTCTTATCCACTCATATATTCCAAACAAACTACTCTATAATGCTTTTGTTACCTTAGCCAAAAAGGAGCCATGCAGAATTTACAGTATATACCATTAGACTATTTTGTGTGATTGTAAATATCTCGGTCTCTCTTTGCCGTCCCACAGCACATTGCGCTGTCCATTTTCTTCCCTGATTGGCTGCGCCTTTCATCCTACTGTGTGAAGCAGACAGAGAAATTTGCACACAGCATGCAGAAAAAAATTGATGAAATGACAGAACATTCTGCAAGCAAAGAGGACTAAGGAGTGCGAAGGAGGTTGCTACTGAAATGTTTGTGGTGCTTTAAAGAGGTCAAATTGGAAATTGATATGATATTTTTTATTCCATGTTGATAACTTACATGATCAATGTTACTGTATTTGTATTGACTGCCATTGAAATGTATTGGTAATAGGACAGAGATTGTGTAATGTTGATGTTGTTGTGATGTAAACAAGCTGACCCCAAATCCACCATGACCTATATAGCCTGAGTGCAGCAGAGAATGATCTGTGGGAGATGGAACTCTCAAACTGGCTTCTATAGTATATATTCTAGCTATATACTGGAGTAATATACCTATTATGGATATAGACGACAACATTATAACTGGACGCTTGAACATGTGCATGTTATGGTTGATTTGGACTTTTAATATAGTACAATTTTTGGTATCAACCGTCGCATGTCATTTTTGTGATTTAGATTTTCTTAAAAATAAATATAAAGACAAAAATACTTTATTTTATTGCCTTTTGCCAACCCATTCACAAATTACTGTCAAATATTTGTTACTGAGTAACATATGTGTAGAGGAAACAGTATGCTATAAAATACCATGTTTTATGTAATTACTTTGGTTTTTGACATTTTCTATTGAGTTATTTGCTTGAACAGTCCTGATTAACTCACAAGCAGGCTGTCTGGCACTCACTGATCAGTCCACAGACTCTAGACAACAGTCTGTGTGGCACAACCTGAGAACAGTACATGGATTCTGAGCAGAGTCAGAAATATACAGTAACTTCATAGTTTCCTCTTTATAATCCTATTTCTGCTTAAGCACAAACATCATGAACCACAAGTTTTGTGAAATGTATAAGCTTTCACATAGCACCAAGGACATACCTCTAAATTAGTAAATAGCTTTCATGAATATCAAACTCCTTGCAGTAACATTCTGTTTCCAACATCTGTACATAAGAAAAGCACAGCATAAAAATAGAAATACTTTTTCCAAGTAACAAATTAATGGCATAAGGTTGATACATTATAAATTAGACAAAATAAATGAGCAATCCATATTTAGTCTGCCTGTTAGTGGCTTAATGCTTGTGTAATTTGACACAATATTGTCAAGCATTAGGCACTAATGTAGTTCAGAGCGGTTCAGGAAGTTTGAATTCATGTTCCATCATGGACCACATAGCAGTCAGGAAAAGCAGCATTTCAAGCACGACCAATTGGTGAGTGACCCAAAATCCTAAGAGATCATTTGGTCCAAAGGCACTGGTGAGCTCTCCCAAACTGGGTCACAATCTGAAGAGGAATACACTGGGAAAAGGGGTCAATGGAAAGCGATTGTACCAGCATCAATAACATCAAATAAAATAACACAAAATTCTAGTTTCCATAGCTAGTTAGCATATGTTGCCCTTTCTGTATTTGAGAATCCATTCTCCCTCCATCACCATTCAACCTATCATATGATTCTTCTTTGGTCCGATGCCGCAGAACAGACCATTTGATCTACTTACATGTAACATTCACTCACACTGAATCAGAGTCACTCTCAGGCCACACGGTCAATTCCATTGTGTGGGTGGAGGTTTTTATGAAAACTACATCTGGGTACACAGCTATATCAGGCACAACATAAATGTATTTATATCATTATCCAACCAACACAAAGGCATGAGACAAGTACTCCATTAAATTACAGTTTTAACAAATACAGAAGGTAGATAGGTACCACTGTGACTCACTAGGTGTTGAATGTGTTAATTTGTGAAATTAGTAGATGTGTAAATGAGTTACAATACAAGATGTGAAACTATGTTCCCAAGGAACAGAGCTATACTTATAGGTCCTGTTGTGTTGTGTGCATGTGTGTTTATTTTCTAACTAAAAAGTATGTTATGTAGCTCATATTTTAAGCGTTTAACAGACTGCCCTTTCTATCATGTTCAGGATTAAGTTAGTTACATGACATGTTGATCCCATAAACACACAGAGTGATACACTCAAAGCTCAGTGCATGTGACTGGGGTGAGACCATGAATTAAGAGGGTTGGACCTAAACCGTAAGTCACAGCTTCCAGCTGACTGAGGTATTTTGGTGATTGGCTGGAGTGAGCAGGGGGGCGTGGTAAATATAGGAAGCGGACAGCAGCCTCAGCACTGTGCTCCATCAGCATGCTGTTGACTGCAGACAGGAAGTCCTCTGAAAGGGCCTGGGCCGGCTTCGTCAGGCCCTCCAGCTCTGGGTCCTGTGTCTGTTCCTGTCCGTAGAGCTGCACCACAGAGTCCCAGGGCACTATCTTGATGGAGGCCTTGATCCTCAGCTTCCGCAACAGCTCCCGGTAGGTCTCCTCTTTAACCACCCAGCCCTGGTCGCTGGACTCCGCCTTCACACATAGGAATATTCTCATTCTGGCATGGCGCCATCTGTTGGCCATGTTGAGAACACACGCCATCTGCAGCAGGAAGAGACTGCACACGTCCACGGAGGCTGTGGACGTGCTGCTTGGCTGCAGCAGGTTGAAGGGCCAGACGTCGATGATCCTCTCAGCCCCGTCCGTCTTGGTCCCCATGCCTTCTCCCTGCAGCTGGGAGAAGTAGCGGCCCAGACACACGTTCTTACTCATCTTGATGGCATCTGAGATGATTCCCACGTACTCCTCTGGTGTGAGCCAGCGTGGGCTCTCCACATGGCGGACCGGGGGGAAGTGGGCTTGCATAGAGGGCAGATCCACCCCAAAATCATCCCCTCCGGACCCTTTTGACTCACAGAAGGCAGGGTCTTGGAGGAAGTAGTCCTCAGGGGTGCAACTGTCGTAGAACCCCAAGACCAGAGTATTGGGCTTCATGCCGCCTTGAAGAGATAATGAAGAGTGGAGGAGGATAATCAAAATACACTAAAAAGTACATTGCTTGACGGGTAAAACTGTTTTATGTTCCATTTTCTAAAGTAGTAATATTATAATGAATATGTCGTGTCAATACTCTTTCTGACACCGTTGTGCATGAGGAGGAATAAACAGGAAAACAATAAACAATGACCCAGAATGGGAAACAGGAGGATATATGTGACTCACCCAGGCCGGTGATACGCAGAAGATGCTGTGTTCCCTGCCTCACAGAGGGGGACAGAGTCAGGTCCACAAAGGCCTTCACCCCTAGCTTATCCACCAGACTCAACCAGAAGTTATACTGCTGCTGGACAGGGTCTGAGGGCAGGGTGTCTGAAACACAGATGAGAGGCTGGCTGAGTCATTTCATTCATTTTCATTTTAGTCATTTAGCAGACGCTCTTATCCAGAGCGACTTACAGGAGCAATTAGGGTTAAGTGCCTTGCTCAAGGGCACATTTACGTCATTTAGCAGACGCTCTTATCCAGAGCGACTCACAAATTGGTGCATTCACCCTATAGCCAGTGGGATAACCACTTTACAAATGTTTTGGTGGGGGGGGGGGGGGGGGGGGGGGGGGGGGTAGAAGGATTACTTTATCCTATCCCAGGTATTCCTTAAAGAGGTGGGGTTTCAAATGTCTCCGGAAGGTGGTGAGTGACTCCGCTGTCCTGGCGTCGTGAGGGAGCTTGTTCCACCATTGGGGTGCCAGAGCAGCGAACAGTTTTGACTGGGCTGAGCGGGAACTATGCTTCCGCAGAGGAAGGGGAGCCAGCAGGCCAGGCTGAGTGACTGGACTGCCTGGATTCCCGAACGAAAGAAGAGCCTAACTATTTTCCCTTACATTTTCTATGAATATAAATGTCGTCATATTTCTACGAATATCACACTTACTGTAGACGACTACTTTTGTAATCAAATAGTGGAAGGTTTCATGTGGTCATAAACATGACAAGCATTTATTGTAAGTCATAATCACGATTCCGCTGGCACCAGAACTCCTGTCACCATCCCTATAATATTACCCAGATCTCCCAGCTTCACGTGTCCCAGCACAAACAGCCCACCCTTCTTCAGCTGGTTGACAAAGTTGATGAGCTGGCAGGAGGAGCGAGGGTTGGCCACCATCAACAACACCTGGGGCCTCCAGAACTTCACATGGTCCTTCCTCACGTCCAGCATCAGCAGATACTTACGCACCTACAGGAGAGGGGGAATGGGTGGAAAGCAGATTCAAAGCACCAAGACTGACAGCAGTGACACACCCCAGGGTCCTGTTTAGTAGGAGAAAAACATTTTGCATCAGAAAATGAAAATATGTTTTCTAAATTGGACAACTTCAGGTAGTTCTTCCCCGTTGCAAAAAGTTCTCTCTACTGAACACGACCCAGGAACTGGCCCATAAGTGTGTGTTTGTATGTACTGGTACAAGTCTGTGTGTGGTGTGGGTACCTGATGGAAGATGAGAGCCTGGCTGATGTATCCCCAGCTGCTGGTGGGTGATCTGTAGTGCAGGAAAAGCAACAGTAGCAAGAGGAGGACGATGCTGGCTGAGGAGTAGACTGGGTTAATGACGAACATCATCACCAGACAGCTCAGGATGCCCAGCAGACATGTGTGCCAGGAGAACACCTGGAAAGTGGGCCTGGTGAAGACAGGGAGACTAGTAAAACAGGTGAAAGGTGAAAGACAGGTGAAAACTGGACTGGACGTTGATGGTCAAAAGTATTCTAGATAAACACTACTTCCCTAAGGACAACAACATCATCACACAATAAGGTCAATGTCTTCTTTTTTTGAACAGATTATACAGCATGATGCTAGTGTCAGACTACCTGAAGTTGGGGGCCGATGCCCACTCTAGAGCTAGACAGGCCAGGTCGACAGCAGCATAGGCCAGCAGGTAGAACACTGTCACCAGGCCAGCTATGGCATTAAGCTGGCCTGCAAACACCACACACTACACAGTCACACCAAAGACACGGTCTCAGAGCCTGTTTGAATATCAAAAGTAGTACTGCATAGCTCAATACGATACACCCATCTCTTCTCCTCACCTGTGCCAACCCCCAGGTGTAGAGCACTGCCACCCATGGGTTGCCTGAGCTGGACGTGATAGCAGCGGGAGCCAATGGAAAACCTATGGGTAACAAAACATCAACATTAAAGCATGCTCCTTATTTTATATTAAACAAAAACATGTCCTTTACTCTGTTACAGACAATAGCCAGTCTAATTGTGAAACTTGTTCAACAACATCCTTACCAAACAGTTGGTCCAGTGCGAGGGCGTGGAGGATCCGGGATGCCCCAATCAGAGAGCACATGGCTGCTGAAAGGGCGGAACAATAGATCCCGATGGTGACAAATGGCGGCCAGATGTTTATACGCTGGAAGAACCCGTAATCCTGAGCCAACAGGGTCCTAAACAAAATACATGAATTAGTTGACTTTATTAAACTACATAGTTACAGTATGATGAATATTTGTGCATTAAATTATTAGCTAATTAGATAGGTGACAGAGTTCCCACCCCTCCCAGCCTCATTAACAGCCCATCCATTCAGACCTTTCACAGGTGGAGCTGGCGAGGATGAAGAGAAGGACATAGACTATGAAGGTGTAGAGGACTGCAATAATGGTGCCTTTGGGAATGGCAGCGCTGGGGTTTTTCAGCTCTCCTACAGACAACAGATTGAGGAGAAGATAGTGGAACATGTCAAGTTTGAGTCTATGTGAAGCTTAATGAGATGTAAAGTAATGGAGGGCAATTCCATGGTAACACAATTATGCTAAGACTCAGATTTTTCACTTTAAAATGTATACCAAACAAAAAACATTGATTTCCAAGTTTAACAAACCATATAATTTTATGCACAATGACTACTTTTAACAATTTCCACAGAAAATTGTACAATTGTGCAGATACAAAGTTTAGTAACTGAATAAAACAGAGGGAGATTTTACTGTAATTCTGTTACCAAACTTTGCATCTGCAGTTTTTTTTTTTTTTTTATGTTTTTGCCAGTAAACTGTGTAAATTGTTCAACGTAGTCATTGTGCATAGAGTTGTAAACTTTGAAATCAATGGTTTTTGTTTAGAATACATTTTAAAGTAAAACAAAATCGGAGTCTCAGCGTAATTGCGTTACCGTGGATTTACCCTGGAACTAAGATTCCATTACCTTGAGTCAGAATGCATATGGAAAGTTGTCAATGACAACTATTTGTAGTTGTAATATCCACCAGCTGTCATTAGTTATGATGTGTGTGGACAGTACCTGACATGTTGGCTCCGGCCATGATTCCGGTACAGCTGGTGAACATGACAGCGAACACAGTGGCGAATGACATGACTTTACCGGTGCTGTAGTCCACAGTGTAGCCCGCTGAAGAGGAAAAAGAGGAAGAACACTGTTGCTACAACAGCTCTCTCAAACCATAAAACTAACGACTTTTTACATGTCCAGTTCAACTTCCCTATCAAGGCTTACTATACCTAGAATGAATCTGAAATAGCACCCCGTTCCCTATACATTGTACCTAGGTACTACCGCCCCGCCCCCCCTGACCTTTGACCCCAGCCAGGCAGTACTCACAGCCCAGGTTGTCCTTCAGCGTGGTGCTGTTGAAGCCTGTGTAGCTGGCGTCGTAGGTGAGGGTCTGGTTGCCATGACCCTGGTGGGTGATGAGGAAGTTTAGGGGTGTGGTCACCGCCAAGGGGCTGATGTAGATGGACAGCAGGGAGATGGTCACCACCAGCAGGATGAGGAAGGAGGTGCGGGCGAAGATATGGGCGCCCACCAGGCACACCACCAGAACCAGCAGGAGAACTATGGAAGAGTACAGCACTGTGTACCAGTAGCCCTGGGGTAGCACCCGCAACGCAGAGGAGGACGCTGAGGTGGAAGGGGGACATAGAAGTTGATAAGATGGCGGATGAAACACTGGGTGGAATGACTCATTTGAACGCATGAGGCACCAACCTTCTAAGAAATATTCAGTATAATTTGTTTAAAGCATACCACAAAAAAATGGCTTGCATGCTAGGAATTATAAGTATTGGGCTGTTAATTATAGAATGTCAAAACTAACCTGGGTCCTGACCAAATATGTCAAGTAGTGCCTCTACCAGACCAAGCACATACACTCCACATGCGCACACTTTGGCCAGGAAGAACATTAGGCCAATGCTTCCTCCAAACTCTGGGCCCAACGATCGACTGATCATGACTGGCAGACATTAGGTCAAGGGGTTAAATATTACTGATCTGGTGCGAATCATGTGGTTTTAAAACTATGAGCACGTAAAGGTCAGCATAGTAACCTGCTCAGTTGGTTAAATCATATGATGCACACAGGGCTGGACTATGCATTTCGGGGCCTGGGGCACCTACCTCTAGGGCCCCCAAAGAAATATTTTTGGGAAAACAGCTAACTTCCTGAATTTCAACACATTTTGCCATGGGGCAGAGAGAAAAATTTGCAGTTTTATAATGCTATTCTAAACATTTTGTCATGAGGCTGAGAGAACATTTAGAAGTTTTAAAGCTAATTTCCTGCAATTATACACATTTTTCCATTGCTTATGACATGTTCATAACTACAATTTTTGTTGGGGGCCCCAGGAAGGTAATCCGGCCCTGGATGCACATCAGATGATGTTAAGTTTAGTTTATTAGGATCCCCATTAGCTGTTGAACATGCAGCAGCTACTCTTCCTGGGGTCCACCATGTCTTTACTGTATCCAGATGTCATCAGAAACAGTTATCTTTTTGACTACAAAACATAGAAACCCTCTGTTTTCACATGATGTTGGGGTGGTGCTGGAGATTATGAAAATGAGGTTGAAAAGTGGTGAAATGTCCCTTTAAGGATATAAGGGCTAGAACTGTCTGTATAGACTGTGGCATCAAGTTTGAATAGTAAGAACATAGCGATTTTAAACTGCACTCATACTTAAGACAAATACAAACACACTTGCTAAATATATTTTTTGGGGTGTGTGAGAACAAACCGGTGTTAAGGATACAATAGGCCCCACCTCCCTGCACAGCACCATTGGTGGAAATAGCACAGATGGACAAGATGGTGAGGGAAATAATGGTGTAGGCTACAAGCAGCATCACAAGACCCTGCAAGAGCCCTGCATGACCAACCACAAACCCTATAGGAGACATCATTACACAGTATTAGTCTTGTTACAGGACCACAATACAGTAGCCTATGCATTCACATGCATGCACAGTTACACACACACACACCTTTTTAAAATAATCTAGCAGAGCTTGAAGCCAACAGCAGCTTCTGACCATCAGCAAGCATCACTGTATGTTGCACTGTAAATAAATTCCACATTCACAGCCTATATTTGTAGTTGTCTGACATCTAGATGCTGCACTCACCAGTTCTGAGGAAGAGGACAATGCTAAACATGGAGAGGACAGTGGGCACTATCACCCCGAAGAAGGTGTTGAGCTTTCGAGGTACCGCATTAGGAGTGCTGGCCTCCCCAGTGCCATCTGACCCCCCTATGTCACACACTGCGGTGTCTGCAGACAGACCACATACCCCATGGGCGAGGAGGGGTGTGTGATCATTAGACATGGCTTTCATCAGAAGCCTGTTGTTTTTAAATGGTTCAGACGTCCCCTGAACCTTTTGTAACCCTGTTAAATGGAGACATTTAAAAGTTCGTAACAATGCTGACAATTGGACAGATTCCTGAAAACACAGTATAGCTTTATATTTACAAAAAAATTGGTTTGCAAACATACAAATAGAAGGTGAGAAAGGAGGGTTTTAAATAAATTAATAAAAAACATCTTCAGACTACGAGCCACCAGAAAAGCATCAGACATTCTACATAAACATTATGCTTCAAAGTCATGCAACATCAGAGCTGCGCGATTGTTTCGAGTTGACATTTATTTCATGTATCCACAAAGGGGAAGTGAAGCGGAGATACACCGCGGTTCTCAGCGAGGTCATTCTACAATTCAATCTCGCAATTCCGTAAACTTGTAGTTTGACTAATGATTAAAAAATGGTTTACATTGTTGTTTGCTTTACGATAATGCCGTATTGTAGCTATAGCCAGATGAAAACAGCAACTCACCTATTCGCCGTCAGCGGGAATCAGCGCGCACACTTCCGCTTGTTAAACAAACCCCAGTCTGCCTTTGGCTACGTGACTGCTCCCTTTTTGCCCGCTAATTAGTTTAAAGCTGAATGATCTCTGGAAGAGTTGTCACAACGTAATTTAACAGCATACACAGCCGTGTTTTGTTAGTTAATAGTTGATCTTCGTAGATTTGAAAACTACTGGCTATAGGTAGCATAGGCGACATACAAATTATCAAATAGCGCATAAAATATAAATGCCTCAATCTAAACAGCTGTAATTCAAATGTACATATGTATTCTCCATATGCCCATGGACATTGACCTGCTTGCGGGTATGATGCTGCCGCCTCAGCTATTTGTTCCGTGCAGGTCACCGGACAGTATAAACTGTTCATGTGACTGCCAAAAAGGGAAGGGTGAAAATACCACAAATATATGTCATTAATTATTAGGGCCCTGTGTTTTGCGCAATCATGTGACATGCTTGGATTTTAACCTTTATTTTTTTATCATCAAACGGTCCCCTTTTTCTTATGTCAGATGGTCCAGCACCATCTTCAGATAATTGCTTTCATTTTTGGTTTAATTGTCAAAATCTTGCTATGTCACGATTGTACAGGGTCCCAGATGCGCAAAGCCAGACAGCAAAGGTGGGGTGTATAGTTCTCTGCATCTTGTGATCTGTAGAAAATATTGTAATAACTATATTTAAGATTATGAATAAACTTTGTGTAGTGGGTCCCTTTCAGAAGATATTTTACTGTAATAATGTTAAACAAAATAATCCAATAATACTGTGAAAATGTCACTTTTTATTGGTAAATTATCATGTAAATCAAAAATGTACAAAGTAAATGCATTGCTGTTCAAAATGAACAGGCTAATTCACACAGTTCCATATGAAAAGAAGACACATGATGTGATACCAACAAAAATACATCAATGATTTCTGCATTGTGCTACCAACTCAGTTCAAGTAGTCTGTATTTCCATTTTACACAAACAATATATATTTTTGCAGTAAATGGAACTCAACCCTTGATGCCAAATGGTTGTATAAACCTTTCCAGGTGGAATCTGCAGACCTCCTCATATCTGACAACATAATGAACACCCTTTTATGCCAATGAAGAAAATTGTGAACAAGCAGAAAAGAGAAGATAGATATAATAGAAGAAATATATGATTCTATACACAAACAGCTTCTGTGTACATTGTCAATTGAATAATATTAACTTCTGATTAGGATGACGTTAACACAAATAATTTCTCCATTACTACTGTCATATCACATTTATCAAACACGTGTGTATGAATGTGTACAAATTCATCCTGATCAGGAATCCAAGGACTGCGAGTGGAGGTGTGGCCATGTGTAGGAGGGCCCTGCTTGAAGTAAAGACAGTGACGGGTGGGGTGTGGTGGGGGAAGGTGAGTGGGTCAGCCTGTGCTTCTTGAGCTGGCCCAGCTCCCTGAAACAGCAGCCACACTGGGCACAGCGGTAGGGCGTCTCCCCAGTGTGGATGCGCTGGTGCTTATGCAGACTGTCCAGGTGACGGAAACGCTTCTCGCAATACCTGCAGGGATACGGCCGCTCACCCGTGTGAATGCGCTGGTGTGTCTTCAGGCAGTAGAAGCGACGGAAGCCCCGGCCACACACGTTGCAGCGATGCACCTTATCTGAGCTCTCCCTTCTGACTTCAAAAGCCCCAATAAGACCAGGGTCCCCTACAGTGGGTGGGACAAAGCCCATGCAGTTACCATCATTGTCACCATCATTGTTGTCGATGTGAGTTGGCATCTGTGGCAGTTGTTGTGATGATTCAGGGAGGTGGGACTCCAGCATACTAGATAACTCAGGGTCGTTTTCAATTTTAACTGTTCCTTTGACTTCTTGCACCTCATCCAGCACCTGAATCAGGCCCAGGTCATTCACATTGCCTGCTGGGTGACTCTGACCCATCTCAAACTCAAAGTTGGTAATATCAGAGGTCCTGTGAGGGACCTCTGCTGCCAATGTTTCCCCCTCCTGCTCGTGTGGAATTCTTCCAGAGTCCTCTGATCCACTTGCACTGACTTTGTACTCTGAAAGAGATTAATGACATCATCATGACCAGTGAGCAGGAGACTTTTCACTTTTTGAGTGCATGCAAGTATTGATGTCTATGTATACGGCGTAAGCCTACCTTTCTCTGCAACTCCATCGTCCGTGATGTAGAATTGACCCTCTGTATCCTCCTCAGTGTGTTTAGGTGAGCTTTCAACCTCTAGTTGTGGCGCTTTGGATGTTTGTGAAGGATTGGCGCAAGAGACAGTGGAGGAGGATGTCCGTATTCCTCTCAAGCTTGAGCTGCTCCTGGGCCATTCATGCTGCACTGTTGGTAAGCAAAGACCTACACTAGGTAGTGACGTCGAAAACTGGGATCGTGTGGATGAGGCTCGAAACGACTTGGGCACACGGGACGTGCCCCTGTTCAGCATGTTGGAAGGACTCCCCGAAGCAGTGGGGGGAGGGAGGAAAAGAGACTCTTCTGAACCAGGAACTAATACACCTGATCTAGGATGGCTGTGATTTAGAAGTAAACACTGTTTGATGTTCTTCTCGGCTGCTGTCATGTAGTACCGTACAGCGCTGAGTTCACCCTCCGATACCTCAAGTCTCTCTCTCAAACTTTGGTTCTCACGATGAGACTCAGCAGCAGCAGTCCGAGCTGCGGCCAGTTTGATGGCGACTACTCTGGCAGTTTCCTTTAAAACGGTTTCAACTGCACACCTCACTGCCTGTTCGATGGTCGATGCAAGTTCATATTTGAGGAAAGAGACACTGGCCTCAATCGTCAGACTCATGGTAGTGAGTAGCTAGATGGGATGTTTCCCAACAGTTCTAATAACCAAGCTACAACAAGATGCTCAGGATTCAGTCCTTGTTTTGTTTTGTAAGCAAGGTAGCTAGCTAGCTACCCACCGCGTTAGCTACTCAGCTACTTAGCTAAGATTAGCTAGCGAGCTAGCGTTAAATGTCTAGCTAGCCGCTCTGGCCAGATACACGACACGACTGACAGTAATTTTAAAGAGTTTTTGAATCAAGTAAACTTAACAACTCCATTATTCATACATTGATTCAACTTGTTTCTCGAATCTTACTCAAACACGTGGTAATAACTTCGGAAATGTGTTAAATGTTTTCATGTTTTGCTAGCTCACCCTTCTTCTTCTCTGAGGTTTTATGGCAGCCAGGCAGACCACAAGTTGTGGTCCACAACTATAAATTGTATTGCCACCACCTACTGTACGGAGTAGTTGAACTGGTGGGGGAAAAACATTATAGGAAAAAAATATTACATACAAAAGACAAAAATGTATATAATAAAACCCATCCCACTCCTTCAATCACATACCAATCGATATCTCATCCCTGCACAGGCTCAGGGGCCTGGGAGGGGGAACACCTGCGGCCAGTAGGCCTGTTTCCTGCAATGTTTCAGCTGTTAGTTCCTGAAGAACCAAAAACGTTTCTGCGCAGATTATGGGCGCGTTCCTCTGCCCAGGCATTGCTGACGCATGCAAGATTTTACAACGCCTGAATAGGTATTTAAGTATCAGCTAACCACATCATATGTTATAGCAATCTGGTGCCCGATGGCACAGTCGATGAAGTAGCAAACATTGGTTGATGCATGCAACGTCTGAGCAGAGGAACTCGACCACAATTATATCAAATATCTTTATTAAAAATATATTTATAAAATAGACCAGAGCCTGTCGTTTACAATGGGAGCAAATTAATTTTAGTGGACAGAACAAGCAAGGAGTTGGCAGAGCCAAACACGAGCTAGTGAGATCCTATTGGCGCGTTCTAGCATTTATTTGCATATTTCCGTTAGGGAACGCCTATTCTGTGAAGTGCGCGTGTGCAATAACTCAATTCGCCCTTGCACTCCTTCTAAACAATGCAATTTTTAGAAACTTTGGCAAAGGGTAAAGCCTACAAAACGTAGTCCACTCTGTTTGTTACAGATTATAGTTTTGTAAACAGAAAACTGTATGGAGATCAAATGTTCCATCCAAATTTTTTCAGAATTTCGGCACAAAATCCATCTCGCTCCATCTCTTCCACTGCTGGCCACTGGGCTTCCTCTCATCACCATATTTGGTAGTGAGTTGAAACACCAACCAGATGCTTCACATTTATACATCTGGTGAAATATCTGGCTCATTGTTCTATCTGTGATTATATCCTGTTTCTTGGACTTCTTGTTTGCTAGCTCACCCAGAGAGGAAGAGGAAGAGAGAGGCCCAACTCGGTGGAAATTCTGTCTCCCTCCAGCAGGTGGCGTTTTTTCTTGTATGGAGGTCAATGAGTATCGAATTTGGTCAACAAAAAAATGAATGGCTTATTTGTTACGTGAGGTTTATTTGATCGAATAGAAGTTTCGTAATGCTTAAGTTGTTAAGAGTGCACTGATATAAGTAGGACACGTGACATCCCAGCAACTTTGAGAAAAAACACTTTATATCGGAGTTGTCTCGAGATAGCTATGCATATTCGCGGCATGAGGCTAGTAGCATAGCATCTCTCTCCATTTAATACAGGCGGTTGACGTCAGCAACCCTAATCGAATATTCAAATAATGATTACAATAATGACATGTATCCACCAATCCAAAGAAAGGACAAGGACTATAATAATAATAATATGCCATTTAGCAGACGCTTTTATCCAAAGCGACTTACAGTCATGTGTGCATACATTTTTACATATGTACATTGTTAGGGCGGAGAGACATGTATCTTGTCAGTATATATCTATAATATTTGGCACACCTCTCCATGCATCAACTTTTGTGTGACGCTTAGTTATGGCTTCAAACGAGGTACAGTGGAGGAGGAACTTTGTGGGCCTTGTAGTTCTAGCAGAGGGCAGACAGACCCCATGTTGTGCAATGACCATTAGAAACAGAAACGTTCTGTAGTCTTTTTAACCAGCATTACTTACATAAGAGCATAGAGAGACAGCTAAAATAGGGGGATGTATAGTATAGGTCTAGAACTGACATAGGGTCAGATGTTATGGGTCTAGGATGATAGGTGAGATTCTCTATATCTCTCCAAAAAAGTCAAAATGCACCTAACATAACTAGCTAGCTCCTCGAATATCACTTTTGCACATAGAAACATTATTTGATGGACTAGAACACTGTCATATCATGTTTTCTAACCCCTCCACAGGTGAGAAAGGCTTCCAAACATGCCAATAAATTAATGGTATTCTTCAGTTTTGCTTCTTTTTAAGGTCACAATTTTACAGGTCCTTGTTAAGTAACCTATGTGGCCAAGAATGACTCTGTTCATCTGTTCTGGAATTAGCCATTCACAGAGCCATGTATTTAGGAAGCTGGGCCAATGCAATTTCTGCATTATGATGCATTTACGTGACACTTCAACATTTTATGGCAGCCATGTTAGCTCCTCATTAACATCACATGGGGAACAATGATATGTAACTGAATGTCTATAATTAGAACAATATTCAAAATTCTAAATACAGTGGGGAAAAAAAGTATTTAGTCAGCCACCAATTGTGCAAGTTCTCCCACTTAAAAAGATGAGAGAGGCCTGTAATTTTCATCATAGGTACACGTCAACTATGACAGACAAAATGAGAATTCTTTTTCCAGAAAATCACATTGTAGGATTTTTAATTAATTTATTTGCAAATGATGGTGGAAAATAAGTATTTGGTCAATAACAAAAGTTTCTCAATACTTTGTTATATACCCTTTGTTGGCAATGACACAGGTCAAACGTTTTCTGTAAGTCTTCACAAGGTTTTCACACACTGTTGCTGGTATTTTGGCCCATTCCTCCATGCAGATCTCCTCTAGAGCAGTGATGTTTTGGGGCTGTCGCTGGGCAACACGGACTTTCAACTCCCTCCAAAGATTTTCTATGGGGTTGAGATCTGGAGACTGGCTAGGCCACTCCAGAACCTTGAAATGCTTCTTACGAAGCCACTCCTTCGTTGCCCGGGCGGTGTGTTTGGGATCATTGTCATGCTGAAAGACCCAGCCACGTTTCATCTTCAATGCCCTTGCTGATGGAAGGAGGTTTTCACTCAAAATCTCACGATACATGGCCCCATTTATTCTTTCCTTTACACGGATCAGTCGTCCTGGTCCCTTTGCAGAAAAACAGCCCCAAAGCATGATGTTTCCACCCCCATGCTTCACAGTAGGTATGGTGTTCTTTGGATGCAACTCAGCATTCTTTGTCCTCCAAACACGACGAGTTGAGTTTTTACCAAAAAGTTCTATTTTGGTTTCATCTGACCATATGACATTCTCCCAATCCTCTTCTGGATCATCCAAATGCACTCTAGCAAACTTCAGACGGGCCTGGACATGTACTGGCTTAAGCAGGGAGACACGTCTGGCACTGCAGGATTTGAGTCCCTGGCGGCGTAGTGTGTTACTGATGGTAGGCTTTGTTACTTTGGTCCCAGCTCTCTGCAGGTCATTCACTAGGTCCCCCCGTGTGGTTCTGGGATTTTTGCTCACCGTTCTTGTGATCATTTTGACCCCACGGGGTGAGATCTTGCGTGGAGCCCCAGATCGAGGGAGATTATCAGTGGTCTTGTATGTCTTCCATTTCCTAATAATTGCTCCCACAGTTGATTTCTTCAAACCAAGCTGCTTACCTATTGCAGATTCAGTCTTCCCAGCCTGGTGCAGGTCTACAATTTTGTTTCTGGTGTCCTTTGACAGCTCTTTGGTCTTGGCCATAGTGGAGTTTGGAGTGTGACTGTTTGAGGTTGTGGACAGGTGTCTTTTATACTGATAACAAGTTCAAACAGGTGCCATTAATACAGGTAACGAGTGGAGGACAGAGGAGCCTCTTAAAGAAGAAGTTACAGGTCTGTGAGAGCCAGAAATCTTGCTTGTTTGTAGGTGACCAAATACTTATTTTCCACCATAATCTGCAAATAAATTCATAAAAAAATCCTACAATGTGACTTTCTGGATTATTTTTTCTCAATTTGTCTGTCATAGTTGACGTGTACCTATGATGAAAATTATAGGCCTCTCTCATCTTTTTAAGTGGGAGAACTTGCACAATTGGTGGCTGACTAAATACTTTTTTTCCCCACTGTACATGGCTCTGGCCATTCCTATCCTACTCTTGCAGTCAGTGTCCTTGGGAACAGAGCTTCATATTGATGTGACCCAACAACGGATCCAGGGACTTCATGGCCCTAGTAGATTACATTCTCTTAAAATGGGAATACATTGCATTCTAGGACAATTATCACATTTTGTGATGTTACAGCCTTATTCTAACATTGATTAAATCGTTTTTTCCCCTCATCAATCTACACACAATACTCCATAATGACAAAGCAAAAACAGGTTTGTAGACATTTTTGCAAATTTATAACTGAAATATTACATTTACATAAGTATTTAGACCCTTTACTCAGTACTTTGTTGAAGCACCTTTGGCAGCGATTACAGCCGCGAGTCTTCTTGGGTATGATGCTACAAGCTTGGCACACCTGTATTTGGGGAGTTCTCCCATTTTTCTCTGGAGATTCTCTCAAGCTCTGTCAGGTTGGATGGGGAGCCTCGCTGCACAGATATTCCAGAGATGTTTGATCAGGTTTAAGTCAAATCAAATCAAATCAAATTTTATTTGCCACATGCGCCGAATACAACAGGTGTAGACATTACCGTGAAATGCTTACTTACAGCCCTTAACCAACAATGCATTTATTTTTTAATAAAAAAGTAAAATAAAACAACAACAACAAAAAAGTGTTGAGAAAAAAAGAGCAGAAGTAGTGGTTCTCCCACTGGCTATCCTAAGTTGAATGCACCAATTTGTAATTTGCTCTGGATAAGAGCGTCTGCTAAATGACTTAAATGTAAATGTAAATGTAAGTAAAATAAAATAACAGTTGGGAGGCTATATACAGGGGGGTACCGGTGCAGAGTCAATGTGCGGGGGCACTGGCTAGTTGAGGTAGTTGAGGTAATATATACATGTGGGTAGTTAAAGAGACTATGCATAAATAATTAACAGAATAGCAGCAGCATCATAAAAATATGGGGTGGGGGTGGGGGGGGCAGTGCAAATAGTCCGGGTAGCCATGATTAGCTGTTCAGGAGTCTTATGGCTTGGGGGTAGAAGCTGTTGAGAAGCCTTTTGGACCTAGACTTGGTGCTCCGGTACCGCTTGCCGAGCGGTAGCAGAGAGAACAGTCTATGACTAGGGTGGCTGGAGTCTTTGACAATTTTCCGGGCTCTGGCTGGGCCACTCAAGGTATTCAGAGACTTGTCCCAAAGCCACTCCTGCGTTGTCTTGGCTGTGTGCTTAGGGTCGTTGTCCTGTTGGAAGGTGAACCTTCGCCCCAGTCTGAAGTCTTGAGCACTCTGGAGCAGGTTTTCATCAAGGATCTCTCTGTACTTTGCTCC